GCCCTTCAAGTACTCATTTGATTCCTTCTCAATTAAGCCCCCATTAACACACAATCGATTTCTATATGTGCATGCATCTACTTCAATCTGTCACTCCTTTTCTTTAATAAGATAAACATATTCATGATTTGTTTAGCTCATACAATGTACTATTTTGAGATAAAATGATAGTTCACTAACAACGATCAAGACTTCATATATGACAGACATGCTAAACGTGATTTTCAAAGAAAACTTGAATTGGAAAAAATGCATATTTAGAGATAAAACAAGAGGTCACACATGCCAAATTAAAGAAACACCACAATTTTATAATTGCAAACTCATTAGAAATACCATACAATTCCTCAACAAAAAAAGGCTCACATCCAGCAACATGAAAGGTAACACTTACTATGACTGAACCTTGAAGGACAGAATACTATCGTAAAGGCACCACGAGCAATTCCAATAAAATTTGAGCTTCCAACTCATCTTCCTTTGCCACACACACACACACACACACACACACACACACACACACACACAAAAGGTTCTCATTCGAAAGAACGAGAGAACGGACACAACCACAAAGACTCTTCGATAGAGTGAAAAAGTGACCACAATTAGGGATGGGAAATTTTGCCATAAACCGACATACCAACCGAACTGTACCAATCAGTTCATATTGGTATGGTGGAGTTTTAGCATATTTCATAATTGGTTCGCATTATACTAAACGGACTATTAATGGTATGGCTTTGGTTTGAGTTTTGTATACTGGCGGTATTACCATACCGACTGGTATTATATATAATTGATTCAAGAAAGATTTCACATACATTGGAGTGTCAATAACAATTCCCTCAAATAATTGATTCAAGGAAGTACGTTGGTTGCTGCTACTTCATTGCTATTGCATTATCAAAATTGAATGAGGATCCTCTCTAGATCCTCTTTGTGAGGATACTGGGAATTCTCCAATCACGTCTGTTCATCTTATATCGTGTGTTTAATTTTCATCAGGTACTATTTATATTCAATTTTAAATAAAAAAAAATTTACAATAATTTCTAATCGCACGATGTACAATGAACAGATGTAATTGGAGCATCCTGGAACCCTCACAAAGAGGATCTGAAGAGGATCCTCATTCATCAAAATTGCAAGTTATTTGTTTTTAGATTATAATCAAAAGGATCATAATCAAAATCAGACTTTTGACTTTGAGATTTTTGTTTTTGCATTGGTTTGCCGCGTTGGTTTTAGACAATTATTTGAGTTAGACTTTTGAGTTTGTGCACTAATAACCATTTGAATTATGTTTGCTGATATTGTTGTTGGCTTATTAAGTTATAATTTGATTTCCATTTTAAATTTTAAGTTATGATTATGTTGGTTCATCCATGAATTGAAAGATTGCAACAACATTTTTTTGCTTTCTATTTTTTTGTTTGTTCTTCTTCACAGTCAGTGTGTGGTCTTGGGGTGGTGTTTTGGTAGCTTGTTTTTATATAGTAATGATATTGCAGCCATTGGTTGTGCCATTTACCAACCAAACCAGTCAATACTTTCGACTGAATCAATTTTTGACAATCACAAATAGAACATTGGCCAGCAATAATTGATTTTCGGTAATTATGTATATGTGGTTGGCTGGTGGCACAAGGAATTTGGCTTGGTTTGTTCTTCTTCACAGTCAGTGTGTGGCCTTGGGGTGGTTTTTTTTAGCTTTTTATTTTTATTTATTTTTTATATAGTAATGATATTGCAGACCATGGGTTGTGCCATTTACCAACCAATAATTTTGGCTAAACCAATTTTGAGCAACTACAAAGAGACGGTTGGCTAGCGGTAACTGATTTTCTATAATTATGTATATGTGGCTGGTTGGTGGCACAAGAAATTTGTCACAGTTTAACCACTAGATGAAGATGGTTGTAAGAAATGAGAAGCAAAGAGGGGGTTAAGAAAAGGAAGAGACTAAGAGGCATTGTTGCCAACGCTTTAACCAACGACTGAGAGGTTTTTCTTTGGATGTGCCATCCACACATCATTTTTTACTTTTCATACACTTCTTGTTAATATCTGACATTTAATTTTCTTCAATTCATCCGATCTGACGGTTGAAAATTAGAAGGGTGTGTGAATATCACCTTTTTTATTTTTTTTTGGTGTGTGGGTCCAACGACTAGGGTTTTCCTTTTCTTTCATAAAATGTACTCTTCAAATTAATTGGATAGATTGGAGTATAATTATTTCTTATTACCTCTCTTAAGTTATGGCATAACAAGCTAGCTATTGATTTAATAATATTTTTCTTTTACAATACTAAAGGAGCGTCCATTAATCATTCTACCCAAAATTATGACATAACCATTTGAAGTAATCATATTCCAAGTTGGAAGCATGACATGATTATTGGTGAGAATTTTTATTAAACTCCAACACTAAAAGTTAATACGACTTATCAACAATAAAAATCCTAGCAAACAATAACGTAACACGCTTTATTTTCTAGAGAGACACGGTAAAAATATAACAAAAACCTCCTCAGCCACCAACTCTAACATTTGGCTTTGGGCTCAGTGGCAACCCCTTATTCTCCCATTTCTCTCCTATTCTTTCCATTTTTGGTTACTCTGAACTTAATTTGTCTTAGTTTTTTCTTTGAGTTTTGTCTCAATTTTGTCTGCGAGCTTATGGGCTTCATGCCTCTTCCTCTCATTTCTTCCATTTTTCTGTCATCTCCCCACTCCCATTGAAACCTGTATATACAACCTCCCCCTCATTTCTCTCCCTAGACAACGTTATATTCTTCACTCCTCCATTTATCATTATCTCATGTTTTGATGTCCTTCACCCATCAAAAGCTACCGTTCTCCACAGGTTTTCGACCGCTGCCTTTTGCACCTCTGACTCAATGTGTGTCTTCATGACTCATCCTTGGTTGCACACTATGGTGTTGTGTGTAAAACATTAAGTGCATTTCGCATTATTTCGTTGAATTATAGGAGAGCTTTTCACTTGGGTGGTTTGTGCACCCCCATTTTCTGTTACGAAATTCAAGTTGTCTGGTTCTTGTTTGTTCCTTTTTGGTGGTATTGCGGCAGGCTTCTTGTAAATTTTTATGTGACTTAATTGCAATAATGATCTCCGAACTTTACTTCTGGTTTAAATTTAGTTCATGAACTCTCATACTAGTTTTTTTGGTCCTTGAATTTTAACAATGTTTTGCACCATTGGTTACTTTCACTAATGCAGTCTTTTTTCAATTAGATCTAGGGGTATATTAGGAACTTCAATTTAAAACTTCAAAAAACAATAGAAGAAGCTAAAAACAAATGAAAATTTATAAATTAATATCTAAAATTTAAAACAAAATGAAATTTGAACTATAAAAATACAAAATGAAATGGTTGGACTTTAGCAACTTGTAAATATTAGGCAATGCGATTTCAAAGTTCGTAGGAGATCGAACTGTGACTGGACATAAACAAATAACACACTAACTACAAAAACAAATTCCTATGATTTCAATTTTCTTACACAAAAAAAAATATTATTAGTTTTTAATTAGTTTCTTTTTCTTTCTCATTTCTCATATTTTAAATTCATTTTTAGTGACTTTTGATAAAGTTTCTAATATACCCCTATATTTAACAAAAAATAGACGACATTTGTGAAAAGACCAATTGTACAACACATTGTTAAATTGAGGGCTAAAGACACTAATATGAGAGTTTAGAGACTAAAATTAAACTAGGGGTAAAGCTCAAGGACTATTGGTACAATTACGCCTTTTTATGTTAAATGAATTGTTACTTTGACAAAATTTTTAATATCAAAAGATCGCTTTTCTCGATCATATCATAAAGTGTCAGGCGAGTTATGTTTTGAATGTAACACCTAGGTGTTGAGCGTTTCCCTTGAGTCGTGACAAAAATGGAAATGCATTTTTAAGAAATACGAAACTGTTTCTTTACAAGGGCAATCTTCGTGTGGAGCGTGAAAATTCTAAATTTCTATTGATTTTTAATACCATGCAAAGAAACTTTGAAGACTTATTTAAAAGAAAAAAAAAACTAAGTTTACTGGTAAAGATATGCACAAATGAGCTAAATATTTTCAAGATGACTACTTCAATTCTCAAGGGTGAGCTAGACATGACAAAGAAGTCATGCACAGTGATCTCCCAAAAAACAAAAAAATTATGCACAATGTTCTGTTTATTTATTATTTTGAGTATAACAATATATTTTACACTAAATGAATGAGGGAGTTCGGCTAAACTATATAATAGACAACCTAATTTGGTATTGAATTATTATCCATGAAATTCGAACATAAAATCTCTTACTTACAAATAAAGAAGAAGATCATCAAACCGTATTGAATGACATCTGTTATTTACTCTTTTACACATGTTTTTCTATCTCTCTCACAAGCCCTAGTTTCATTGTTGACGGTGAATGAAATTGTGGAGGTAGCAAAAGTATGTGGAATGCTTGAATGAAAATGAGTGAGATTTTCATCTTATTCCTTTATGATATTTGCTTAGTTATTTGTAAATTTTTTTTTATATTTTCTCACTTGCACCAGATTTTTCTTGCCATAACTCAAAAAGTTGATGCCTGCAGAAGCCCACCCCACCCCATCTTTTGCCCTTTTCAGTTTCTTTCTTCATGCCTTGGCAACCTAATTTTACTTTTCCATTCACCTAAACAACTATAAAAATAATAACAACAATTATTACCACATTTCACTTTTGCCCATATTTCAAGCAAAATATATGCTTAAAAAAAGGAAGAATAAGAAAATCCCCCTACCCACTACCATTTTTTATTTTATAATATTATTTCTCACCGGATTCCAACCATAACAAAAAATTAATATTCTAAATAAATCATTACTTATTCAAAATGGCCATTTAATTTAATATTTTCTCCCTTTTTTATTTTTATTTTTTTCATTTCATTTTTTTAATCTCAATTCGGACAGTCTTAGGAAAGTTAGGCACCCAACAAGCTGAAAAACATAAAACAAGCTTTCTTACTATTATCTCAAACATTTTTCCATTCAATTCACAAAACCAGAAAATCAAAGAGCTCAAAAGATCAAATCTTTTTCCTCTCACTGTACGAATAAAATCCAAAATTTTTTTCCTTTGAGCTCTTTTTTTCAAGCCAACTTTGCTTTTTAAATAAAAGAGCTTTGAGTAAAACTAAACCTTCAGACTTTTGCAGCTAATTTTTTTCCCCTGTAATTGTTTTTTTTTTTCTGGTAGTTTTTATTTTTTCTGTGTTCAAAGCTCAGGAAGGAAGCTTCACAGTCTGTTGTTTTTATTTAATTTTTTTTTCTTCATCTGGGTTTCTGTTCCGAGTATATTTTCTGGTTCTGGTTTTCAAAATTTGAATCAGTGAGCTATTTTAGATTAGTAAAGTAAAAATGGGTTTTTGTTAAAAAGCTCGAAAGATACAATTTTTTGGGGTTTAAGTGTTAACTATGGAAGGTAGGGAAGGTGTGAATAGTAGTGGGGTTACAGTTGTGGGATCAGATGCTCCATCAGACTACCATGTCGCTCCAAGGTCCGAAAACCCGACCCACAACGCCGGATCAACACCTCAGGCGCCGGTTGCTCCGCCACAGGCGGCGGCAGGGTCTATGCCGATGAAGAAGAAGAGAGGGAGGCCAAGGAAGTATGGACCGGACGGGAGTGTCACCATGGCTCTGTCACCGAAGCCCATATCGTCCTCTGCACCGCCGCCGCCGCCGGTGATCGATTTCTCGGCGGAGAAGCGTGGGAAAGTGAAGCCAAGCTCAGTGAGCAAGACCAAGTACGAGGTGGAGAATTTAGGTAGTGAAAGAACAATTTTTTTGGACATACCCTTTTGAGTTTGAGTGATTTTATGCTTGTTTTTTTGGCTAAAGTCGAGATTTTTAAGGTTGGTTTTGTGTTGTTTGTATGTTTGATTGGGTGAGATTTACTCTAATTAGAGGGTGTAGATTTGGGGTTTATGAGATGCTTGTTGGGTAGATGTGGGACCTCTGATTGGATGCCCTTCTCATTTGAGATCTTGGTGTGTGTGTGTGGGTGGTGGTTCTGAAAAGATTAGTGTTTTTGTGGGTTGGTGGTGGAATGAAGGAATCTTCTTGTTCTGGCTGCCCTTTGGAAGGGCACCTCTCTCTCACCTTTTTGAGGAAGAAAATGATGCCAGGTCCCAATTTATGTACATGCTAAAGTCTGCAAGTGATGGTGAACAGACATGGAACTGAAACATGTCTTCAACTTGCTGACAGATCTAAACTAGGAAACAATAACAACCTCATCCTTTTATATATGTCTTGTCCATGTTGAAGATCTAATTCTGGTTTTATTTTGTTGTTTCATAGGTTTCTCAGAATGTAATCGTAGTTAGTTACTATTGGTCTTCGTTGTTCGACTACATCTAGATTGCTGTCAGTCAGCTCTCATAGTATTCTGAATGATTTTCTACAACATGAATGGTGGAATCTTTGTTGTGATCGATACTTGCATGTGTTGTCATCTGCTGGCTGCAATGCATGAATGTCTGCATGAAAATTTGAAATCCCAGCTACCAATCATTTGCAGAGATGTGTTATTTGGAATTTGAGTAATATTTGGCTGTTAAATTTGACAAGATAATTATTCAGTTTATATTTTTTATTTATTTATTTATTTTTATATTCAGATTATATTGTATTTTTCAAATTAATTTGGGACTGACATTTAACATTTTGGCAATACTTTTAGTGAATTAATTTCATCAATGCATTATTATTCTCTTATCATTATTTTTCTTTATCCTTTCGGATAATGTACTAAGTGTTTACTCTTCCACTTGTACAAGAATCCTAGGTCATTACATTATTATTGCTTTAGTACGGTGGAAATCTGCTTCTCAGCAATTATTCTGGCTTTCTTTTTTTCTCTTCTTGATATAAGAATAGTTATGCTGAATTATACAAGAAGATAGATTGAATTGAATGCTGTAAATGTTGATTTAGCATAATGGTGTACTCAACTTAATTTTTATAAAAAAAAATTAGCTTTGCTCTACGGGAATAATTGAATCCTTCTGACAAATAGTTTTCATATGTTGGTCTGTGTTAATTATAAGGGAATCAAGTGATAGTTAATTATGGGAATGCAAATGCATATGATTTCTTTCTGACGTGAATGGCAATGCTTGTAAATGATGCATAAAATCATATGTTGGTCTGTGTTTGTATCTGTAATTTATGAAGGTATAAAGATGACAACTTCTGCAGATATTAACAAAGTTATGCAATCACAGCTGTGGAAGCTTGGAAAATCATACTGGAACTGTAACATAACTACTCCTCCCTTGTAAATGGCTGCAATGAGCTCTTTAAGTCTAATATAACACCAACAAACTGCAGATGGAAGTATTTGGATGATATTACTTGGATTTAATGTGATAGTTTTATTTTTTGTAGTTCTCTTGGCTTATATAAAAAAAGTATGTAAGCATAATAAGAAAGTTTTCCTAATATGTTTTGTGGTGGTTGATCATAGTCATTGTTCACTGAGATACGCAGTTCTCTTTGTTATCTTTTATTTGTTTATTTATTTATGGAACCCATGAATTTATTATGGCTCTTGAAATGATCTACATTACTTTGCCTTTGATTTATGGAACAAGTACCTTGATGCGAACTGCATTTGTAAAAAACTCTTTGACAAAGTTGAGAGCTCCTTGTGAGGTGGCTAATCCTGTTATTGTTCTATGTTTTGCAGGTGAATGGGTTGCATGCTCAGTCGGTGCTAATTTTACGCCCCATATCATCACTGTTAACTCCGGCGAGGTAATTAATTGACTGTAATAATTATGTTTGTCATAACCTGCATTGCTAGAACCTTCATGATGTCCCTGGTTGGTCTAGGTGAAAATGTTACACAAGTTAAATAGACGGAGATGGCCGTGAGTATTAGATTTTGGTAGCTATTATTTGGTTCTTTCACTAATTGGTGGCCTGTTTTACACTTTCAAATCTTGTAGTAACTTCTTTAGGAGTGTTTGGTTCTCAATCAGTATTTTTAGCACTTAAGTTGACTTTTCCTGTAACAACTCTGGTTGTCTTAGGATGTCATGATGAAGATTATATCCTTTTCTCAACAAGGTCCTCGAGCTATATGTGTGCTCTCTGCTAATGGTGTTATTTCAAGTGTGACTCTTCGTCAGCCTGATTCTTCTGGTGGTACATTGACATATGAGGTGATGCATCATACCCTTATTGTGATGATATCTCTGTTTCCCTTGGATCAGTAATGTGGCATTTTTTAAGTATTCTGGAATGGATAATCTATTAACATAATTTTTTTAGTATCTGATATTTTTTTCTCACAACTTTCTACTATGTGTACCATAAGCGTAAATTTAATTAGTTTTTGTAGTTGATCTCTTTTCTATTACTGATTATATTGAGTGGTATACTCATTCTCTGATTCCGCCTTACTTGGAACGAGTATTGTTTGAGACTTAAAAAGTTGGTGACTTTTTTGTTATTGATAATGCTTAATCCTCACAGAACATGCAAATGAAATAAGCAATAAAGACTAAATCCGGTTTTTATGTGTCCTTTTAAGAAGGGAGCATTTTCGTTGTTAGCCTGTTTTCATTTACTTTTCATGTTGTACTGTGAACAGTGAGGCTTATACTGTTAGTTGGTATGTAGTTAAATCCCTAAATTGAGCCAACTGTTCTGTTCTTTTCTTGGGGCCAAGTGATTTTCTACACTTCTAATATTATTGATCGAAGAAAATTTTAGCGTCTCTGCTGACAAGAGTTGTCATAATAAATGAAGATGAATGCTTATGCCTTTAATCAAAATTTTGGTATCGGAACAGTCGGTCTGGAAGAATTGTGCCTTTCCACCATTGTTGTCAAACTCATTACCTTCACAATCACATAAATTTCAACATTTTCCTCTTATGCAGCCCTGTTTACTGATAATTTGATTTAATGATTGCTTTTTGTTGAACTTTCCCAAACCGCAGGCTTGGTTTGTTTTTACCTCTCTTTTATATTGTTAAATGTTCTTTTGCTAACCACGGGTGGAATCCTCTTCTCTTTGCATTCTTGTTCTTGCAGGGCCGTTTCGAGATATTGTCTTTGTCTGGTTCATTTATGCCAAATGAAACGGGAGGGACAAGAAGCAGATCAGGTGGGATGAGCGTTTCTTTGGCAAGTCCAGATGGGCGTGTTGTAGGTGGTGGAGTGGCCGGTCTGTTAGTAGCTGCAAGTCCTGTGCAGGTATGGCTTATTCTATTTCCAAATTTCTACAGCATTTTCATGAGAAAAAAAAGGGCAGGTGGTTACGAGCTACTTTTTAATGACAACAAAGCAGGATCTGAAATTTCGTTCTTAAATTAAATCAGGTTGTAGTAGGCAGTTTTCTATCGGGAAACCAGCATGAGCAGAAGCCCAAGAAGCAGAAACACGATTACATCTCTAATGCAACACCAACTATGGCTGTTCCTATTTCAAGCGCTGAACCAAAACCAAACTTCTCATCCTCAACTTCCTTCCGTGGAGATAATTGGTCTTCACTGCCATCGGATTCAAAAAACAAGACTGACATTAATGTATCGTTGCCAGGAGGCGTAATGTGAAGAGTGTGCTTTTAATTGCAATATGAGGTTTGTCACTGACCACATTGGCAATTAAGCTCCCTAGTCCCAACCGTTGGATCTCTCACCTGTACTTGTTTGTTGTCTGTAAACTTGTTGACTGCTAGTACCGTCGTGGGGGTTTCCCCCGTTTGAGGTGTTATTTAATTTAGCCACGTAGGTAGTCTTCTAGCGCTGCTTAGGTTGCCTGTTGTGACATCTAGAGTAGCTTGATCATGTAATATTAGCGTCCGAATCTGCCGTGGATTGATGTAATGTGATTTAAAACTTGTTTGAGACTTATTACCTCATCTTTCTCGTCTGTTTGATTTTGTTGGTTCAACTCCGTAAAATTCAGCTTTCCTTCCCTTGATACGGAAAAATGATGAAATTTTTGGGGCTTTCCAGCTTATCGCCCGACTTTCTTAGTCTTCCTTATCACTGGTTATATACAAATCTCTCTCACTAAGTGCGTGTGCAGACGACCAAACTTAGCATAATCACATACATTGTATCATGTAACTTGATATTTGAATGCTGCTGTACCAGAACCATAGTTGCCGCCGGCGGTGTGGTCACTGCCGTACCAGTGCCGCGGTTGCCGCCACTACCAAAATCTTTGCTTTTAGGCTCTAGGCTCTAGGTTAACTGATTCTGCTGCCAATTTTGGGTTAAAATTTACGATTGCTGCATAAAACAGTAAGTTGATTGAGTTTGGAGTTTTTGTTTACAAAGATTTCATGTCTCTTTCTGTTTTAATCACATCCCAGCAGCAAGAAAAGTCCCAACTCAACTCAAGTCAGCTGTCGTCAACATCAAGAAATCATCATTGGGATTTATAAAAGACTTAACAACAATAAATAATTCAGATTGAAGCAGCCACTCACTGTCATTTCTAACTAATCAGTCCATTTCTTTGGCACCTCTATTTGTATGTAGAGGTAAATGATTACCTCACACTTGTTTTTCTCAAAGGAATATTAAGGAGAATCTTTGAAAGTGAGACTTTTTGTAAATTCTCTGCCACCTTACAGTTTAACGTTAATTACGGTATCAACATTATAAATATTGTGTCAAAAACATGAGGTGGTAGACAGAGCCAGCCTTGAAGATGTGCAAGTGGTGCCCTTGCATAGGGCCCCATTCGAAAAGCCCGGAACATGATTTTATTTTACTTGTATATATGGTATATATATCTAAATTTGCGAGGATATAACAATTTCTTCTCCTAGTGCAATTGTCTTCTATGTCTTATTTATGTACCATGAACCGCGTTTGACTCTACCCAGTAGTGTTTTATTTAATTATTTGGGTATTTAAAAGCATGAGTTGTGTTTTATTTTATTTATTTTTTGTTATTTAAAGCATGGCGTTTATTTTAACTTCTTTTGTGTTTAAGCATGGCATTTATTTTGTGTTTTATTTTAATTTTTTGGATATTTAAAAGGATGAGTTGTGCTTTATTTTAAATTTATTTTGTTATTTAAAGCATGGTGTTTCGAACCCCAAAAATATAGGGGATGTAAATAGGTACCTAGTCACCACACTAAGGTTTTTTTTTTGTTTTTTGTTTTTTACATCATCTCAATTATATGGGGTCATAATTAAAATGTAAAAGAAAACATAGCAACCAAAATGTTAGATCTTCTAAAGGCTTTTTTTTTCGGGTATGTAAATGTAAGGAGTTTTGAACACAAAAACATAGGGCTGCAAATAGCTACCTAACCACAACACCATTTATTTTTATTTTTATTTTTTCTCAATTCATACATAATCATAAAATTAAAATGTAAAAGAAAACACATCAATCAAAATTCTATACTTTTTAAGGGCCTCATTTGGAGTCTCGCACAGGATCCTTAAAATCTCAGAGCTTGCTTTGATGGCAGAAAGTTCATGAAGATTCCACTTTTTAGAGTGTCTCCTTAGTATTTCTCTTTTTCTTATCTACTTATTTATGTTTATTCAAAGTATAAGCACAAACGCGCACATGTATATTATCATGAGTAATTATATTTGTAAGTTGTTATGCTGTTTAATTGTATTTAATGAATGATAAATAACTTAAAGCTTCCCTATGCCAAAAAAAAAATTCATGAATCAAAACAAGACGAGGTCAAAAACATATTTCTTAGTGAGTCATCTCTGCTTTTGTAATATTTTATCATCTTGTCCACTTCATTTAAATCATCCCCGAATACTGCTCAGTTTCCTCATTCTATCAATTTTCACGCAGAAATCAAAATTTTGCCACTTAATATTAAGACACAAGTATTTTTCTTCATCTGCAAGTAAGAGGTTTTAGGTTTGATTCACGCTAAAGACGAATTTGAACCACATTATTACTAACCCATTGTGAGGCTTAAAAAATCTTAGTTGAGTTCAATGTCTAGGTTTTTTGGTCTGTTTTGGTCAATAGCCTAACAGTTAATTGTGAGGTTTATTTTGTGGAAATCTGAATTGCCACAAAGATTCCCAGAAGTTGAGTTGTGTATTTAAATCCAAACGCACAAGTAATCAGATGCATGCATGCTACCTCAAAATATCTTGTTTGAGATTACTTTGTAAGAAGCATTCATTTTTTAAGAGCTTTCACTAAAAACACTATTTTATTTATTTATTTATTTTTACACCAAGTGCTTAAAAGCAATTGGAAGTAAAAGCAATTCCACCGTTGCTAGGCCTTCTTAAGCAATAAGAAACTAAATCCCCTTAAATGAACATTAAATGTCTATAATGATTAGTAAGTTCCAAGTGCATATTCACATCTAAATTGAATAGCCGAGACAATTAATATTAAAATATTAATATTTTTTATTTTATAAAATAATAAAAGATAGCCATATTTTTAATTTCAAATGATAATAAAAGATTGGTTGAAAGTATTTGAAAATATTGGAATGTAGTGTAAAGTGGAAGAACAAGGTTAGGTATTTATAGAAAAAAAAATTATAATTTTTTAATAATTTAAATCACGATAACATCTGCCTTGCGTCACATAAGCCAGGCACTAGACCGATGAATTATTGCCTAACTTCTCCATCAGACTCGCCTGGAGCTCAATTGCCTAACTGTGCATGAAGGTTTTGCGGAGGGGTAGGAGTGGATTGGATTGCCCATCAACAAGGCTATCAGCTCCCATTGGAGATGCTCTAAAAAATATGCCTCGATACTTCTACTAAAGCGCTTCTCTAACTCAAAAACACTTTTAACTTTATTTACAAAACACAATTTAAAACGTTTTCGATTGTCAAAAACACTTTTAGTCATTCCATAAGCGTTCACAAACAGACCCTAAAGTTATGCACAATCAAAAGTGTTTTGATTTACAAGATTGCACAATCTATTAAAACCTGTTAAACTAATGATCATGTTGACTTTGGTTCCCCAAATACACTCTAATTTTGTATTGTCTTTATTAATTTTAGAGGTATTTGTCGGTTTGCCTCCCAAACTTGTATAGAGTTGTTACCCCCTTAAACTTTTGTAATTAGCCAATTTTTCCTGAACTTTAACTTTAACCGATTACCCCTAAAATTTTATAAATAGCCAATTACTCCTCTAGTTTTAGGTTTTAAAATTTTCCATTCTTTTTGCCCCATAAAGTTGTCATGTATTATCTGCAGCTCAAAGTGGATGGAAAATTGCACGAAATTTTTTACAATCTAGCATAAAGGGGGAAATTGGCTATTTATAAAAGTTTAGTGGGTAATCGGCTAAAATTAAAGTTCAAGGGAGAAATTGACTAATTAGAAAATTTTAGGGGGATCATTGACTAAAATTAAAGTTTAGAGGAAAAATTGATAGCTTTATACAAGTTCGGAGGGCAAATCCACAAGTATGCCTTAATTTTATTTGCCCAAATTACACCAAATTTTGAAAAATGGGTGAATTTGGACAATGACTTCTCTTCTAGGTGGGTTCAGTCCAAATTGGAAATGGAAACCCATGAAGAAAGCCGCCTGTTTTTTTGAGCAAGAAAACTCAGAAAAAATAGTGCTTAGTTTTGATTACTAAACAACATAAACTAGCTAAATTTCAATGTCATATTTGAAGTATACAAATAATATACTCCATCAAACTTTCCGGGAAGATCTGCAGACCTATAAATTACATATATTCTGAGGGGAAACTTCAGAATTCAACTATCAATATCCCATCTGTTTGTAAAACCCAGAGCTTGATAGACGTTAAGCGGATTAGGTGGATATTATATATATATATTATAAATAAATGTGCTTATACTTAAAAATACATAATTTCATTAGATACATAAAATGTAAAATAGAATGACACAGATTATAAAGTATTAGAACATAATGAAAACATGGAGAACAAGCATATAATGTGTGTTCATCTAAGTATTCAATAAATCTCTTACAATTTATTGAAAAAAATGCAAAATGAAAGTAATTTATTTTCTGTCTAAGTGAGAGTCGCGACCTAGGTGGGTCTGGATGGGTTAGGTGGGTTTGGACAGGCTAGATAGGCACCTAATCGGGGTTTCACTAATTTTGAAATCCAAAATAAAAAATAACAAAACCCACAAACAATAAAGATTTCCATAACACATTCCCTCCCACTTTCTTCAACTTCCCATCTTCGCAAATCCAAAACACCTAATTAAAGAAAAAAGTAATTAGTTGCAGAAATGGAGATAATGACCGAGTTAGAGAGAGAAAGAGACAAACTGGAAGGGTGTGGAAATATGGTTGTCGAAGCTTCATTGGCTGGAAAAATGGAACTTTCCAACCAAAACGGAAAATTTGGTACAAAAGTCATATCTTTAAGGATCGAACACTGATGCAAACAAGCTCACTTCGAAAATTCACTCTCGACTTCCCTCTCTTCAAAATCGGAGCTCAACCTAGAAACCCAAAGGTCGCAAAGCTCTCTCAGCATGCCTCTCTTCCAAATGACAAAAATGATGAAATAAGCTGAGGGTTTTTAGTATTTATATGTGGGTTGATAGGAGCATATTTATGCGCCTTAGTTAGCTAGTTCTTATGCATTTTTGTTATGTTTTATTCGTTAAAGTAGTCTTTTAAGCTACTTTCATGTGTTTTCAGGTTTAAAGGACATATTACATGAAATGATGCAATTGGGAGCTTTTGGAGCAAAACTGAGCTGGAATGTGGTGTATGCAAATGGAGCACGAGGAATGAACGAGGTTGAAGGTCAAAGGAGCTTAAGAAATGAAGAAATGAAAGTGAAGAGCAAGGAAGTCGGAATTGGTAACCAAAGTTTCTAAAGTTGGAAGTTTCTATTCTTGGAGGTTTCCATTGTCGTGAGTTTCTATTCTTGGC